ATCTTACTATTTAGCTAACCACTTTGTATAAAAAGTACTGTAATTGAAAGATTGTAAGCTCACAGGCAGAGTTGTTTGTTACATTTGTATCACTTTGCATATTCTCTACAATATATGAAAACGGAACATTGGTAGTTGAGCGAAATATAGACAAAGTGCTCTGGATTAGAATGTTATGTAATAACTGTAAAATAAAAAAAATATATTTATCTTAACTACCACTAAATCTGTGGACATATCTGCTTAAACAATCATTAAAGAGTGTAATAAACCTTAAATAAAAGGGAAAGATTTTTGGTATAGTACTTATGCATTGCTGTTTGCCTCTATTTCGGTTACTTTGTCTATTCTGGTTTTCTCTTTGGTATTGTGATTTTTCTACTGATTAAAGTCTTATTGTACTTAACGATTGAAGTTGTTATAGTGTGCATTTTACATTATATAATGATTTGGAATTACACCCAAGGCTCAAAAAAGATGATTGATGGGGGTAAAAAATTGATGACTATGGGACAGCCACTAAATGCTGATATTATTCACAGATAAAGTGAAATGTGACTAATAATGGGGAAAAGGGATGAGCAGTAAAAAAATAAATAAAAAAAATCTATATTTATATATTATATATACATATAGATTATTTTTGTTACTTCTCCCCTTTTCCCTCTATTGGTAACTTGTTCTCTTGATCTGTGAACCAAATGCACATATATTTATATTATGCATATATGTTGCAGTACACTGACTGGTCCATTCTTATACCTGGTTGGTTTGGCTGATTATTTTTTTCGGAATCTTTTTGTTAATGATATTCAGATGAGTTGAACCACAGTATGGCCAACATTCAGATGTCTCAAAGAATGCCTATAGTTTGGATAAAGTCATTTGAAGAACTACTAAAGTAGACACACTGTGCTATAAGATTTGTTTGTGTGTTCTCTGTTATTATTATTACCGTTATTATAATATAGAGAGGCATTACAATCCCACAACACATACATGATGAGATCCGCGAATCCGAAGCTTCTAAGTGAAGCATTACAGTTCTATAATGAATGCACAGCAATACACACAGTCTACTAATCTAATGATTCATATAGAGGAGGATTGAATCCAATGCATCTCTACAGGGAGTGCAGAATTATTAGGCAAATGAGTATTTTGACCACATCATCCTCTTTATGCATGTTGTCTTACTCCAAGCTGTATAGGCTCGAAAGCCTACTACCAATTAAGCATATTAGGTGATGTGCATCTCTGTAATGAGAAGGGGTGTGGTCTAATGACATCAACACCCTATATCAGGTGTGCATAATTATTAGGCAACTTCCTTTCCTTTGGCAAAATGGGTCAAAAGAAGGACTTGACAGGCTCAGAAAAGTCAAAAATAGTGAGATATCTTGCAGAGGGATGCAGCACTCTTAAAATTGCAAAGCTTCTGAAGCGTGATCATCGAACAATCAAGCGTTTCATTCAAAATAGTCAACAGGGTCGCAAGAAGCATGTGGAAAAACCAAGGCGCAAAATAACTGCCCATGAACTGAGAAAAGTCAAGCGTGCAGCTGCCACGATGCCACTTGCCACCAGTTTGGCCATATTTCAGAGCTGCAACATCACTGGAGTGCCCAAAAGCACAAGGTGTGCAATACTCAGAGACATGGCCAAGGTAAGAAAGGCTGAAAGACGACCACCACTGAACAAGACACACAAGCTGAAACGTCAAGACTGGGCCAAGAAATATCTCAAGACTGATTTTTCTAAGGTTTTATGGACTGATGAAATGAGAGTGAGTCTTGATGGGCCAGATGGATGGGCCCGTGGCTGGATTGGTAAAGGGCAGAGAGCTCCAGTCCGACTCAGACGCCAGCAAGGTGGAGGTGGAGTACTGGTTTGGGCTGGTATCATCAAAGATGAGCTTGTGGGGCCTTTTCGGGTTGAGGATGGAGTCAAGCTCAACTCCCAGTCCTACTGCCAGTTCCTGGAAGACACCTTCTTCAAGCAGTGGTACAGGAAGAAGTCTGCATCCTTCAAGAAAAACATGATTTTCATGCAGGACAATGCTCCATCACACGCGTCCAAGTACTCCACAGCGTGGCTGGCAAGAAAGGGTATAAAAGAAGAAAATCTAATGACATGGCCTCCTTGTTCACCTGATCTGAACCCCATTGAGAACCTGTGGTCCATCATCAAATGTGAGATTTACAAGGAGGGAAAACAGTACACCTCTCTGAACAGTGTCTGGGAGGCTGTGGTTGCTGCTGCACGCAATGTTGATGGTGAACAGATCAAAACACTGACAGAATCCATGGATGGCAGGCTTTTGAGTGTCCTTGCAAAGAAAGGTGGCTATATTGGTCACTGATTTGTTTTTGTTTTGTTTTTGAATGTCAGAAATGTATATTTGTGGATGTTGAGATGTTATATTGGTTTCACTGGTAATAATAAATAATTGAAATGGGTATATATTTGTTTTTTGTTAAGTTGCCTAATAATTATGCACAGTAATAGTCACCTGCACACACAGATATCCCCCTAACATAGCTATAACTAAAAACAAACTAAAAACTACTTCCAAAAATATTCAGCTTTGATTTTAATGAGTTTTTTGGGTTCATTGAGAACATGGTTGTTGTTCAATAATAAAATTAATCCTCAAAAATACAACTTGCCTAATAATTCTGCACTCCCTGTATAAGAAGTATTAGCAGCATTTGGCGTGGCATGTGGCACGTGAAAAAATGCTTCCAAATTATTATTATGAATACTTGCACATCAAGCATTGGTGAGGAACACTATAGTAATACTGTAATCTCCATTTACAGAAAATGTTATTTCTGTTTGGAGAAACTAAAAACGGCTCAGCCATTTGTGTACTGTATATGTACAGGTTTTCACACACAAGGCATATCTAATTATAAAATATATGAGGTGAAAATAATTCTAGCGATATCCTATCAACTGTTCATGCTGTGGTACATTTTAAGACATGTTAAGAGATAATAAAGTGTAATATCTGAACTAATATAGCCTGGTAGAAAAGGTATACGATGGAGAAATATATAAAGCTGGGCAAGAGATTGCTTAAGGCACATCTGATAATGAAATATGATTTTTTTTTTCTTGGTTTTGTCATTATTTTTATCTAACCAACTGTCAGGTTCTATCCGCAGAGTATATGGATCAACATATTTGCCTAATCATAGTTGTTAGACTTTATATAGGACATGAAATATTGAAATATATATCAACCTAGATGTGCTGCCATGTAAAAAAAATTAGCTCGGTGCTAGCTAATACAAATAGCAGCAAATACAATGAAAAATAAACCAAGCAATATTAATAGAATAAATGAAACTGTATAAATTGCAAATTAAAAATATGGAAAGCAAGTTAATGAAACTCCAAAACACTAATTTACAGGACCTTAAAAATAGACCGCATTAAACTATTTTTTGTTAAATTAATTTTTCTTCTTTTTTGTAGAAAATTATTTTATGTAATCTTTTGTAACAATGGAAAATTTAGAAAAGTAGAGGTAAATAAAAAGAAGGCATTAAATGCATCATGAAAGATATGTTTTAACCTCTGGAAACAACAGATTATAGTAAAATATAGGATTAAACAACAGCCACAACTGACTTGAAACCACGGAGCAACGCAGGGAGGAGTGGGCCTTGACAGAGCCAGGAGTAGGCAGGGTGAAGTTCAGGTCAAGAGGCTGTCCTGTGATTGTGCTGGGGGGCGTGGGTTAGAAGGGAAGTTTAAATAGCGGCCATTTTAGGGTAAGTTCATTCTAACTTGAGCCTTTCTTACCTGTAAATTGTTGCAGGTCGGTTGGGCTCCTCTTTTCTTCTTTTCCAGGTGTCATTAGAAGAACTTCTGTCGGGTCTGCGGTCCGTGGTGCAGGAGAAGGGAATGGCGTGGCTACAGGAGCAGCTGGGGGTTCCGAGCACGTCTGCTCCCCCCCATGCGGTGCCGGATCGGAGGCCGGAGAGGAGAGCTAGGCCGCCCCAGCGGCTTAGTCCTGGAGCTGGTCCTGCAGCCAGACGGAGGAGGAGCTCGGCGGGAAGCAGTGCGGCGGCCGGAAAGCAGGGACGTGGAGCGAGTCGTCGGCCGGGACCGCCAGCTAGGCGCAATGCCGGGGCGGTGAGGTTGCAGGCCAGGAGGAGGCCTCCCTTGAAAGGCGCCCCCTGCCGGATGGCGGCGGGCGGGCAGGCGGAGCTGACAGCTGGTGCCGGAATGGAGCAGGACGGAGGGGAGTCGGCTGCAAGACCTAGGAGCAGCCCTGGACGTCCCGGTGAGTCGCCCCCTGGGGGCAGCACTGTGGGGCAGGAGGGATTGAGAGGGGCTGGCAGTGGCAGGACAGCGGTCTCACAGGTTGGGGAGAGGGACCAGGTCAGCAGGGCACAGCAGGAGGCGGCTGGAGTTGGAGGCAGGAAGGATAGCGCTGCGGATCCAAGGGATCAGAGGAGCATGGCCAGGAGCTTGGGAAGAAGGGGAGACGGGCACAGCATCGGCAAGTCTGGGGACCCAGGAGACAGGAGGAGTGGCAGTATGGAGCGGAGTGGCAGCAGGCGGGTGACTGGCCAGGAGGACGGCGGCACCCAGGACAGCAGTGGGCGGGAGGCCTCTAGGGGTCGATCCCAGGAGCGGCTCGATAGGAGGAGCGCCAGCAGAGGGAATGGCGGAGGATGGCAGCGCGGAAGGGCAGAATGGCGGGACAGCAGGTCAGGGTCTGCAGGCAGTAGGAGACATGGGAACGGGAGCCCAGCAGGGAACCGGAGCAATAGGAGGAGGTCAGCTTCCCGGGACAGGTGGCTACGGCGCCGGCGCAGTGAGTCAAGGTCGTCTGAGATGAACCGCACGGCACGGAGGAGGAGAAGTAGCGAGCGGGAGGGACGATGCAGGCAGGGAAGTGGTGAGGACGGGTCTGATCACGGGAATGAAGGGCGGGTGAGGCTGCAGTCGGACAGATCACCCAGGCTGTATTCTCCTTGCAGGTCATTGAGTAGGACGCCCACGAGAGCAACACACGAACAGGCGGGCAGGAGTCGGCGTCCCCTGGTTCCTTCTGGGTCGGCTGTCGTGGTGGAAAAAGTGGCGCCCCCGCGGCCAGCAGCGGCCGGGGGCTTGAGCGGTGAGTCTCCAACTGCATCACACCCAGGAAGCTTACTTGGATGTTTAAGATCTCTGTTAGATTCATGGTCTGGGGACGGGGGGTCTCCGACACAGTTTGAGAAAGTGTGGGTTGCGGACGGCGGTCGGGCAGCAGGGGTTAAGGCCGCAGCGTCAGCGGAGCCGAAAGGGGGTGAGGGCGCCGCGGGGACGGGTCAAGGAGCGACGGGTGACGTGGGTGAGCATGTCGTTCTCTGCGGGGAAGTAACATATGCGGCACGGCAAAATGTGCATGTGTCTTTTGCGGGACCGCTAGGGTGCCACTTAAAGGTGGAGGTTAAGGAGAAAATTTGGAAAGGGGAGTTCGTGGAAATATTTTCCCTGCTTCCCCTGGAGGAATTTTTAGACTTGAAAGAAGAGGATAAAAAGGATGCGAAAAAGGAAGAGGAGGAAAAGAGGCGGAGGTATCGGAAAATACCAAAGTCTTTTGGGAACTGGTTGAGGGCCTTTTGTATTTTGGCGAGCGTGATCGGGGAAAAACACCCGGATCGATGTTCGCAGCTTTTTTGTTATTTAGACGGGATAGGGGACGCATATCGGACCTATGGGGGTTTAGCATGGTGGAAATATGACGAACAATTTCGTCAGCGATTGGCGGCAAATCCGCCCATGCGGTGGGACCAGATGGACTTGCCTTTGTGGATGAGGCTGATGATGGCACAGAAAAGTGCCCCCTTTCTCGGAGCGGCCGGCACGGGCTCAGGTAACGTGTCGGCAGGTCAGAAGAAAGGTTTCTGCTGGCTCTACAATGAGGGCCAATGCAAGTGGGGTGCATCTTGCAGATTTAAGCACGAGTGCTCCGGTTGCGGGGGTAATCACGGAGTTTCCAGGTGCTTCCGAAAAGGTAAGCCGAACTTGGGAGGAGGGGTTGTCGGCACATCAACAGCTGCGGCTGCAGCTGGGAGCGTCGCCGGTGAAGGTAAGCGCGATGCTGCCTTGGTTAAAACTATACGATAATCAGGAGGTGGCAAAGTTTTTACGGCTGGGTTTTACAGAGGGTTTCAGGATTCCGTTTCAAGAAAGGGCTGCGGGTGGGTTATGTAAAAACCTTCGGTCAGTGGGGGAACATCCGAGCATAGCTCGGGAAAAGTTATGTAAGGAAGAGCAATTAGGGAGGATGGCGGGACCATTCGCTTCCCCGCCGATGGTTGGTTTGCGGGTGTCTCCACTTGGGGTAGTCCCCAAGAAGGAGGCGGGTAAATTTCGTATGATCCATCATTTATCGTACCCACAAGGTACATCGGTTAATGATGATATCGACGAGGCCCTGTGTTCTGTTTCCTACACATCATTTGACAAGGCTGTCGAGTTGGTTAGGAGAGCGGGACAAGGGGCTCTAATGGCGAAATTGGATGTGGAGGCAGCTTTCCGGCTGCTTCCCATACACCCGGATTGTCATCACTTATTGGGGTGCTATTTCGATGGGGGGTATTTTGTGGACTTATGCTTGCCTATGGGTTGTGCCATCTCGTGTGCTTACTTCGAGAGGTTTAGCACCTTTTTGGAGTGGGTCGTACGACGGGAATCGGCTGGGGGTGCTGTGGTGCACTACCTTGACGATTTCTTATGCGTTGGCCCACCACGCACGGAGCGCTGTAGCCAGGTGTTGAGGACCTTCCAGTGGGTGGCGCACACATTTGGGGTGCCGTTAGCAGAGGACAAAACGGTGGGGCCCACTACGTGCCTCAGCTTCCTGGGTTTGGAGATCGACTCGGTACGGAGGGAGTGCAGGTTGCCCGGGGACAAATTACAGGCCCTTCAGCGGCTAGTGGACACGGTTGGTAGGGCGAGGAAGGTCACTTTGCGCGAACTTCAATCGTTGATAGGGAGCCTGAATTTTGCGTGCCGAGTGATCCCTATGGGGAGGGTCTTTTGCAGACGACTGGCGCGGGCGACAAGCGGGGTGAGAAAACCGTCACATTATATTAGGGTGTCTGTGGACATGAGAGAGGACTTGGAGGTATGGGCTAGGTTTTTGAGGGAGTTTAACGGGAAGGTGTTTTTTCGGGAGCCGTTGGGAACCTCCACGGCCGTGGGTTTGTTTACGGATGCATCAGGCAGCATCGGTTTTGGGGCGTACCTAGCGGGTAAATGGTGCGCGGAGGGGTGGCCGGAGGCATGGAAAGCGAGCCCCTTGATTAGGAACTTGGCTTTTTTGGAGTTTTTCCCGGTTGTTGTGGCAGTGGCGTTATGGGGTCCGGAGTTAGCCAATAAGAGGGTGGTGTTCAATTCGGATAACATGGCAGTGGTGCAGGCTATCAACGGATTATCGGCTTCTTCATGGCCAGTGGTACGGTTGTTGAGGCAATTGGTTCTCTTGTGCATGTCTTTTAATATTGTGTTTCGCGCTCGGCATATACCGGGGCTTACCAATGTTGTCGCTGACGCGCTGTCTCGCCTACAGTGGGAGCGTTTTCGGGAGGCGGCGCCGGAGGCGGAAGAGGAGGGTCACGCCTGTCCGGCGGAGATGTGGGAACTCGGGACGTCTTGCTTGGGGAGTACATAAAGAAGTCTCTGGCGCCTGGAACTTGGTTCTCCTATGTTAAGGTCTGGCAAGTGTGGGAAGACACGATACAGCAGGTAGGGGTGACGGGCCCTGGGAGCAATCGGCTGGACATACTGTTATGGATCCTATGCCGGTTGTTCGCAAAGCAAGCGTCGCCATCAATGGTTGATAGGTACATGTCAGCGTTGGCGTTTTTGTTTAAGTTTAATGGATGGGAGGATGTGACGAAGCATTTTATAGTGAGGCAAACGGTTCGGGGATACAGGAAAGGTAAGAAAACGAAGGATACGAGAAGACCAGTCTCCTTCACAGTGTTACAGGGGTTAGTGAACAAACTACCGGAGATATGTTTTTCTGTGTTTGAAGTGGCGTTATTTACAGTGGCTTTTCGTGGGCCTTTTTTGGGGCGTTTCGGATTGGTGAGTTGCTTAGTGCCAACAAGAAAGGGGTTGGTGGGCTTAGGTTGGAAGATGTGACGGTTAGTAGGGACAGGGTATTGATTCACCTGATTCAATCAAAGACGGATGTATTTGGTAAAGGTGCCATGGTCACGTTGTTTGGTTTACCAGGGTCGGGGTTGTGTCCGGTGGCGAGTGGGGCCGGGTTTTTGGAACTACGCCCGATAGGGAGCGGTTGTTTCTTCATACATGCCGACGGCACGGCACTGTCGCGCTTCCAATTTGTGCGGGTTTTCCGTTTGGGATTACAGAAGTTGGGTCTGGAGCCCATGCAGTTTGGAACACATTCATTCCGAATAGGCGCGGCGACAGAAGCGGCTCGCTTGGGTTTAGGGGATGAGCGGATTAGACGAATTGGGAGATGGGAATCTCTCAGGTTTCGCTCTTATGTACGGCCAGATAGGCTGGTGTGAAGGGGTGGTTGATTGTGGGTGTTTGGGATGTGCTGGTGATGTTTCCTCAATGTTATGTTTTATTTTAGGTTGGACGGTGTGGATAATTGGCCATTCGTATATCCATTGGGCAAGGAGGAGGGCCGCAGTTAGAAGACATGGAACACAGCTGGGCTTTCCTGAGGATCGGGTGGCGTTATTCTGGTTCGGTTATCGGGGGTTTGACTGGCAGCACATTATTACGGTATTGTTTCGGAAGGTAGCGGAGGAGCCCTTGCCGAACGTGGTGGTAATTCACGGGGGGGGAAACGACTTGGGTCTGGTCCCCCAACGTGAACTGGTTAAGTGTATGAAGCAGGACGTTGACAGACTAAGGGGGCTTGTCCCTGGCGTGAAAGTGGTATGGTCGGAGATGGTACCTCGTTTATGCTGGAGATACGCCAGGGATGAGAAGGCAGTTTCTCGATGTCGGGGTAAAGTGAACAGGACCATGGCGGTGTTCATTCGAAGGTTAGGAGGCGTGGTGGTGAGGCATCGGGAGTTGGAGGAGAGATTACCGGGTTACTTTCGTGATGACGGGGTGCACTTATCGGATGTTGGTTATGACCTTTTTAATTTAGGTTTGCAAGACGGGATAGCGCAAGCCCTGTTTTTGTGTGGTGGGGGTCGCACATGTCCTTAAGGGGTCAAGGCAAGTGCTGTGGCGGAAAAGGTCTTGGTTAAACTGGAATTTTGGTGGGTTAAGAAATTGGTAGGCCAAGGTCTAGGCTGGAGTAGGCCGGAAGTCAAAAGTATGGAGGTAGGTTCGAGCCCGTCGGTGGCTACGAACCAAGGGGTGTAGGGGTGTCTGGGTACACCCCTGCAGTTAGACAAATGGAGGTGGGGCCTCTTGGTAGGCCGTTGAGTTATGTGTATGTATTATTGGTTATGCTAATGTTTGTTTTGGTAGGGTCATTGTCGGGGGTATGATATAGGAAAAGAGCCTAACGAAGGAGTACTGTTGACAATGACCCTAAATTGTTAATTTATATATTGATATTAATTAATAAAGCTGTGGACTTTATACTCCAACAGAATTTTCGGTGTCTGCGTGTTATTAAAGTATGGTTGGCACATGCCGAATAACGACTGTGCAATAATGTCATGAAACCACGGAGCAACGCAGGGAGGAGTGGGCCTTGACAGAGCCAGGAGTAGGCAGGGTGAAGTTCAGGTCAAGAGGCTGTCCTGTGATTGTGCTGGGGGGCGTGGGTTAGAAGGGAAGTTTAAATAGCGGCCATTTTAGGGTAAGTTCATTCTAACTTGAGCCTTTCTTACCTGTAAATTGTCCCTCCCACCCACCCTATGAGTTAGTAGTAGTTCCCGTTTGGTCACAGCGGCGGGAAAAGGTCTTGGTTAAACTGGAATTTTGGTGGGTTAAGAAATTGGTAGGCCAAGGTCTAGGCTGGAGTAGGCCGGAAGTCAAAAGTATGGAGGTAGGTTCGAGCCCGTCGGTGGCTACGAACCAAGGGGTGTAGGGGTGTCTGGGTACACCCCTGCAGTTAAACAAATGGAGGTGGGGCCTCTTGGTAGGCTGTTGAGTTATGTGTATGTATTATTGGTTATGCTAATGTTTGTTTTGGTAGGGTCATTGTCGGGGGTATGATATAGGAAAAGAGCCTAACGAAGGAGTACTGTTGACAATGACCCTAAATTGTTAATTTATATATTGATATTAATTAATAAAGCTGTGGACTTTATACTCCAACAGAATTTTCGGTGTCTGCGTGTTATTAAAGTATGGTTGGCACATGCCGAATAACGACTGTGCAATAATGTCAAGATTTTCAAGCGCTATATAAGCATTCTGATACTTTAGAAATGTTTAAACTGACAGATGTATTTAAAGTAATGAGTGGTGTATTCAAGTGTTCTGTATTTCTATTCAGGTGTGACATTCTTGCTAAAGTATTGATCAAGACCTATTCAAATAATTAAGTATGGCCACAATGGCAATGGGGCCGTATGTAGCGGAATTCATGAGAGGTGGGAATTTATGTGGATGTCGATTCTAGAGTATAATTTAGCTGAGGTGGAATAAAAGGAGTAGTATCTGTCAATCTGTCAGCATTCAAAATATTCTGCCCTGTATGCAGAGTTAAATAGTTGATGTGCGATGATGTGCTAGGGGTGGATTTAGTTGTGCTTGATTCTAAGGTTGATTCTAAGGTAATGTTACAGTTGGCCCTCGGAATACTGAGACCCTCACTAAAGATCTCTAATTTACGCATATACAGATTTTAGGAGCCAAGAAACAACCCTGATATGGGCAATTGAGTGATACATTTTTGGCAAGCTTTAAGGGATCAATAAGTGGTATCTGCGGGATTCAGGGGTAGAAGTATAATTTAAGCATTTACTATAGCGTCAAGCTCTGGGTGTATGAATCTAGCAATGTCTCTGGTACAGGCATGCATTAGGTTGCTCGTATTACTCTCCCGTAACGTTTTAGTGTGTGTCATTGAAGCAGAGTGCCATTATTTATACTGGTGGCTGTCTAATATATATAGTTAAATCCCACTTGCTTCGTGATGATAACATTGAAGGCCATTGGTCATTAAGGATTTAGCTTTATCTCTTGCCTGGTTTTATCTATAGATGCTCCTGATATCCAGAACTAATAACCTGATGGTTATTTAAGAACACCGAAGATGTGTTTGAATTGTGTTTACATTTATAAACAACAAAAATATATATTTACACAGTTACAGTATCTTATTCAAAACTAGAAATGGCTGTGCTTCATCTCTGTTAAAAAACAAACAAAAAAAAACACACAACATATTAATTACTACTTTTACTGAAGCTCCATCTACTGTCCAGAATGCTCTTAACACTTCTAATAATAACAACAATAATAATAATAATAATAATAGATTCCATTGTTCCTCCAACAAATCTGACCTTGAGGTTTTTAAGTGCAATAATCTAAAAAAAACAAATGCAACAAAAACATTTCAGAAACTAGCAGATTACAGTAAGGATGATGCACTAGCATTTTTTTTAAATCTTTCTATTATTCATAATGTATTAAACTGTAATAGTAAATAATACTTTTTATTTTTAAAAAAGAGCTTTTATTAATAGAGCAAGAGATATTGATTTTGCCAAAATTAATAATAAACAACAAAGATAAAGGTTACATTCACATAATATATATAAAACAATAGATATTACAAAAAAAAATGTTGAAAATTGAGGATTTACTTATTATTAGAACCTTAGAAATTAAGATAATCATCAACTGGAATTCTATAACAAAGAAGGTTTCATTCTAGGTCTTAAAGCACATAGTGAATATTTGTTTTAGAATTTTAGCATTAAGACAAACAAGTAGAACATTACTTTATTAATTACTTGCACCTTTTTCTAACAAAGAAGTTAAAGTCAATACTTTTCTAAAGTAGAAAAGCGAAAAGGCAATAAAAAATCTATTGAAATTGCACCGGTGAAATCTCAAGGCTTTCTCAAGATAATGTCCCACTAGATAGAGAACATCCAGACACACATAAAATACTTAAAGGACCACTATAGTGCCAGGAAAACAAACTAGTTTTCCTGGCTCTATAGGGTCTTAGGGTCCCCCCCATCCTCAGGGTCCCACTCCCGCCGGGCTGAAGGGGGAGGAAAGGGTTAAATTCTTACCTTTATCCAGCGCCAGGGACTCTCCTCCCTCTTCCGACTTCATCAGCCGAATGAGCATGCAGGGCAAGAGCCGTGCACGCATTCAATCAGTCCATAGGAAAGCATTTCTCAATGCTTTCCTATGGACATTGGCGTCTTCGTGGAAGCGCCTCTAGCGGCTGTCAATGAGACAGCCACTAGAGGCTGGATTAACCCTCAGTGAAACATAGCAGTTTCACTGAAACTGCTATGTTTACAGCTGCAGGGTTAACCCTAGATGGACCTGGCACCCAGACCACTTAATTGAGCTGAAGTGGTTTGGGTGCCTATAGTGGTCCTTTAAGTTGCATCTTTTTCCTGCTAGATGGAGGGCCAGATTTACAGTATAAAGTGAATTCACTAAACTAAGAATTGTTGGGATTTCAAAGTTAATTCAGCATGAATTTCAAATGTTAGGACAATATGTCCAAGCTGGAAATATTCTCCAAGTTGTCTGTACTTCTAGGTCTGCTACTTTGGTGTTAAATTTGAAATTCACTTTGAATTCACTTTGCATTCCTACCAATTCTCATCATAAAGTATCAAAACTACATTCCTCATCATATAGCCAAAAATAAATAACACATTATCATCTTTTCAAAATATACATCTTTAAATAGATCTCCATTTGAATCTGAGAAATGGAATGTGATAGAATATTTTGATTTTAAAGGAACACTCTGAGCACCAGTTACACTACAGCTCACTCCATTGTGAGTAATCAAACCACTTTATATCTATTTAGCTTCTTACTTGGGGTCCACTTGACTACGCCTGTGGAGAGACCGGATGCTAAGTAAGCTAAGCCCTGCAGCTCATTGGCTGACTCAACCAATGAGCTAGTCCTGCATTGCAGAACCTAGCTCAGAAAGCCAAGTTCCTGCTTAGAATTTTCCAGCTCTCCATCATCAGCAGTGGACAGTTTTACTACTTACAATGGCTCTCCTGGCACCATAACTACTACAGCTCGCTGTATTCATTATAGAACTTGGAATGCTCCTTAAATTCAGTCTCTCTAGTGTATACTGAAGGATATAAACGTTTTACATGTGTGTTACTGCTTTAACTGCATTACACAATATTCTGTGTACTTAACTTTAATTGACATGGAAAATAACTTTTATTAAAAAAAATACCAACATTTTAATCTAGCAGTCAGAAGAGTTTTAACCTTTTTTTTTGTTTGTTTGTTTTACAAGCTGCTGCAGGACATTTTAGGAGAAATATTTTTCATCCACCATTTTATATTCTTCGCCCACCATTTTACATTTCACAAACAATTCAGTGTGATAAGTAGCCATGAGCACTTGCAAATTAAGATTAAATTCTAGAAAATATAAAGCCCTCTACCTCTCTAAAGTCCATGAAAACAACTGTCTCAACCTATCATGAATTAAAATGCACCTTCAATTACTGTTAATAATTAATTTGTTTTGTACATGCCCAATGAAGATAATGTAACCTTGTACTGTATTTTCTTTCCAGTATATATTTGAAAGCAAGAGAAATATACACATATATGTCTTCAGGTAAAACACTTTAAAAGAAATAAAAACACAAGTTATAATAAAACAATATAACAAAATAATAGTATCACATAAATCCCAAGTATTGCATAATAAAAAGGATTTTTTTTAATTTAAATTATTTAAATGTTTTCTAAGTGTTATAAGGTATTAATATTGCAGTGCTACCCTGAGATATAATAAAAATGCAAGAATTAGGGAAAAATAATGATTCTGATATGGATTTTTTTTACAGTAAACTTTCATAAATGGTATAAACCTGTGTCAATTTGCACCATTTTTGGCAGGCCCGATTCTATATGATCTTATACGATAATACATTTATATACATACATCATATTGGCCCCTCAGTAGGTCATAATTTAAATATGGTTTGTAATAAGACACCTGTGATAGGGAAGGGTGTAAAACTTGGAGCTTGACCAACATTTATTATTTCTAATCCTGACTTCATAAATTTTAAATAGTACAAATATTCAATGAAAACCTCATAAAATGTGATATGAATTAAAGGGACACTCCAGATCTCTAAAGCATTTGTGTGAAGAGTGTGTCCTCTTTTTTTCATTTTGCAAAAAGTGCAGATTTCAATAAGAATTAACACTTTTATAAATTAACCTGGCTACACCCTCTTGACTGTGAATCAGACAACAGGTCCTGTTACTTCCTGGTTCGATTAGCTCAGAGGAGATAAACTCAAGAGGCAGCATTTGTTTGGAGCACCTGCCTTGCAAAGACATCTCATTGAGCTGCATTGGGAAGTCTGGGATTGGACAGCCATGAAAAGTCTGGGTGGGGTTAGAAGGAGGGTTTTTGCAAAGGCAGCAGGCAGGTTTTACAAGCTGTTTTTAAGTTTACCCCAATGAAAAAAGGAATGAGTTTTTAAATTTTTCTTTGTATTGGGGCAATGGAGTATCCCTTTAGGTTTCTATAAAAAAAAAAAAAAATAGAGCTATTTCTGAAAAAGTAGTCGCTTCTCTGCAAAGTTAATTGAGACTGCCTGGGCAGTGAATATTTTAAATCTGATTTTACATCTAATTCACTAACAATTCCACTGTAAAGTTACTTATTTATAATAATCTGGCAATGTCCATTTGTTTACAGTTAGGTATGACCAAGAAGATTTTTCTTCATTCTATACAATTACTAATTCAACAATTCATAAGCATTTCACAGGGCATGCTTCACAAAAAAGAGTTGGGTGTTATTTCAGTTCAGATATTTCAGATTTTGAGTATTAGTACTTCTGATATCCTGACGTGAAGAACCATAAATTAAAAGGCAGCTAAAATCAGCGAGCAACCGATCGGAAAAATTGTTAAATATAAATAGAGGCAAATTAGGTCTCTTCAAATATCCAGACCCCTGTGCATGATAAAGGTCAGGTAGATGCACATACATCCTCACTCCT